AAAATTTCCCTATTTGAAACCCCCCCCCCCCCTCTCACATCTGAGATTCCATTTATGCTCTCTAGATACTTGGGTCGCGACTCTGGGGTTTAATTTCGAAATTACTAAAAATAACGAAAAATTCAGCATGGATTTTAGAAAAAAAAATTCTCAAAAACAATTCCCAAATTCGTTAGTTTTCATGCATTCAAACAAGGATGAAAGTTAAAAAGAGGAGTTTCTTATATCTATAAATTTGTGTTTAAAATTTAAGAACTTTTCCTCTGTGTGTTGACATTCAGATGAGGAAATGATCCGTAGAAATTGAAATTTCATTATTTCTTTTTCCAGTGAATGGACTTTAATGTCACTCTCATGAAAAAAACTATTGAACTCTTCATGAAATTTAGATTTTCTTTTCTACCAGTGTATTTTCCCGACTTAAACCAAGTCTTGATTTGACTAGAATAAAGCCGATAATCGGCTTGAAACAAGACGAACATCGGCTTGAATCAAGCCGAAAATCGACTAGAATCAAGCCGACGTCGTCTCCAATCAGGACTTTTTTTGTGTGTACGTTGTGAAGCTATTGTTTATGTTTAAAATTTGATAGAACTCGTATTTGTCGAAAATTGTATGATAAACTATTAAATGTCCATGGATAGTTGAATTTGTTTTCTAACGTTCACGTTTTGAGCCTTATATTCTGACACTTAGTGTTTTATGCTACACTTAAGAGAGCTTGAACAAGATGGCCTGATATGAAAACATCATCCTCGAACAGATTCAGGTATATTACTCTTGATTGGAGTAAAAAATATACTCAAATCAAGTATATTTTCGACTTGAATTGGGATTATGCATATATTTGTATTTTGTGTAAAAGAGACTCCATTTCGGTATATTATTTTCCGTGTCCAATTGATTGGAAATAACTATTCGAAATCAATGATTTCGTGAAAATAGAAGTCATTGAAATCAGGGTGAATAAAATTTCATGAATAAGAGAGGTAGGGCAAAATGCGTTGCTTTACATTATGAAAATCTGCGGTTCACTAATCAATACTACTCAGATAGGCTTTGGTCTCATATCAAAGTTTTGTACCAGTAACTGGGAAATAATAAGGAATTCATCTGATTTTACTTGGCCAATCTTATTGGAGATATCTTATTGAAGATATAAAACGATCCATTTTGTACTCTTGTTGAATAATTCACGGTAATATATCAATTTCTGTAGGTTATAGCAGAAAATGGAAATTACATCAATCATTACACGCAAATTTAACAATCCCAAACTACTCGCACGATTTGCACTGCGCCAATAATTTTGGGTTTCAGCTTCATTGACTTCGATTCATTTTATTCATTTCAGACAATTTCAATATGATTTCAAAATAGTACATTAGAGTACAAGGGCACAAATTTTGTTTTCAACGAATGTGTAGTTTACAGGCCGAGCCGAAGGCGAGGTCTGTACACACATTCGTTGAAAACGAAATTTATTACCGAGTGCTCTATAATATTTTATGTCAAGTCGTGCAGAAGTCGAGTTTTGAGCAGGCTGCGCGAAGCGCAGCGTGCGATAAACTCGACTTATCGCACGGCGCGACAT